AACCTGTAGGGACTCCAGTCTTCATGTGTTGGTAGAGGACCTAATACTAATGGCTTAGAGACTAGACCCTGGCTGGTTCCAGACAGGCTATGGAGAGGGTTCCTAAAATTGAAAGAATAAGCCCACTGTCTATAAGGACCTGCCATAAGGTCCAGGTCTACCTTAGGAAGAAGCTAGGGTAGGCTCAACAGATCACAGTTGCTCAGTTTGCCCATTTGCTGGGAGCTGTGCTCTGGTGGCAAGAGGAGGGAACCTTTCTTTTAAAAAGAGATAAAGTCATGTAACTGAACTAGATGCTCTAAAGAGAATGCTGACCTCTTCCCCTGCACTGAGTTCCATGAAATTCCATCTTCCAGAACAGAGCTTGGGTCCCTCAGCTTTCCTGGCTTATCCCAAGTTCTACTTGCATTAGATCTTTTGGACATTTCTTGTGTTCATGTGATCGGGAGACACATGCCTTTTCCTCTTCCTGTGTGAACCCCAAGGTGCACTATCCCCTCTGTGCCTCAGTAATGAGGACCAGAGTTTGAGTTGTACATTTATTGACAGATGGGCATTTGGGCTGCTTCTGTCTGCCTGCAGTGAACAGTGCTGCATCTGTGAGCAGGCGTCTGTTGGGCTCTTCTTTTCAATTCTGCAGGGTGTGAGCCTGCGCCTGGACTAGATGAAAACTGTTTGTTTTTAAGGGACTTCTGTACAGTTTTCCCCCAGTCCCATGGCACCGTTTTTACCTAGCAGCATGACTGGGGTGCATTTCCCCATATTTGTGGCATTTTTTACTGTTTGTTTGTTTGCTTGCTTGCTTGCTTGCTTTGGTGGTGTTGGGAACTGAAAGAGTGTGGTGCCACCGAGGTACAAGTCCCACAGGTGTGGATCACTGACCTGCTGTGCTCTGATCTGCATTTTTCTGATGATTGAGGCTAAGGAAGGTGCAAATGAGGCTCAAAGAGGGTTCAGCCCAGTGACAGCCAGGTCTCACTGCTGACCAAAAGTGACTGAGATTAGAGCTGAATTCCCACTCAGAGTTCTCCATGAACTACTCCCTTTGAAGTTCCAGGACTTCCCCTGATCTCACTATCCCAATGTGAAACCTTGCAGCCAGCAAAAGTTGCCTGAAGAGGGCCCAGGACAAGGCTCCAGCTCCACTAGATCTTAGTAATGGACTTGTGGGGTCTGCAGAGAACCCCAGGCAGCCACCCTGCATCCAGTACCCCATACCTACCCCTCTTGCCCCATCTCTGAAGATGCAAGGCTCACTCAGCCTTGCAGAAATGCCTGCCCCCTACCCACCCCCTGACAGTGTGGGGAAAAATCCATGCACTTGAGGACTCTGGCTGGGTGTCATCTGTGATACCTGTCAGGGCAACTGCACTTCTACTGCCCCTGCAGGCTACAGAACTCGGACCTTTCTCAGGCATGATCTTGGACTCTCTCCATATGTCCAGATATGGCAGCTACTTCCTGGTGTCACACCTGCTTTGGAAATGCCAAGAGGGGGATCACTGGTCAGGGAGGGATGGTTTTATGGTAAAAAATGAGCCTTGGTTGCATCTGCTTCAGGAGGGTGGGAGCCATCACCTGAGGTCACCCAGGCAGATGGATGAAAACTCTGCTTATGAAGTCACTGCTCCCCTATTAATTAGGGGGGAGGGGGCCCTCCCATGCTGCAGTGGATCTCACCAGTGGCCAAAAGCTTGTCAACATTTTCTGTGGAGAATGAAAATGTAAATAGCTTTCAGATCATTCAATGTCACCAAGGTATGGAAGAAGGTGGCCACACTGGTCTCATTTATCTCGCTGTGGATTTAAAGAGCTTTTTTCTATTAAATTTCCTAAAATTAATGTTTTATGTTGCTCAGAGTAATTTGAACAATTATGGGCTTAAAGAATTGATCATTACAGCCCCTGGGATTCAGCACTCCACACTGGAACCTTTGAAACCCTTCTGATTTATCGCAGCAGCTACTCCACAGGACCTGCCCTGGAACCAGACTTCCAGCTACAGCCCTCTTGAGCAGCCTGGGGTTATCCAGTGGCAGATGGTAGGGAGGGGGAGAAGAGAGGAGTATGTCCCCAGGTGTCCTAGATTGAATGGGTCCTAAGTATGAATTTTGCATATAAGACAGAAAGGCTTTTTTTTTTTATGAGTTTGTTGGTTGAAATTAACTGCCCCCACCTCTTTTAGGCAGGGCACTATGTAGCGCATGCTATTTTTAAATGGAGCTGGGTTTGAACTCTTGATCCTTATGCCTAAGCCTCATAAGTGCTAGGATTACAAGCAGTGCCACCAAACCTGTAGTTAAAATTGCTCCCCCTTTAAAAATTCCTGGGTTTCCCTAAAGATACAGTGCAGTTGCTAGACTCAAAGGTTAACAAGCCCAAGTGAGTGATCTCAGCCTCTCTCCCTCCCCTACCCCGTTTCTCTGCCCTTCCCACCCAAAGCCCACAGGACTCTCCTGCTGGCTAGCTGATGAGCAGATGGGCACAGGGCTGACCCACGCCATCCTTCGGAAGGGGCGTCTCTGTGATCAATCAAGAGATACATTCAAAACACAGGCAGGGATTCAGAATCCTGCACACTCTTCTCTAGGTTACCTAGGGCTAGTCCTTGTCTGTAGCATGCACACACACACACACACACACACACACACACACACACACACACCGCACTTTAAGCCTCCTAGAGTCTGAGGCTCCTGGAGGACAGGCTCTAGAGAGCTGAGGCACAGGATTCTGAATTTCAGATGCATACCTCATTCACGCACCACCCACAGTAAATCCTTACAGATCTGCGCCACCTGCAATCCTGGGGGCAGGACTCCACCTCTCCCCACAAGGGCCTGAAGCCCACTGGTAGCCTAAGTCCTCTCTGTACCTATGGAACCTTTCTGGACACCCACTGGTGAGTAGGGGCTTGGTGGTGAGGCCAGTGTCTGCATTTGGATTCTTGCAGCTGAGCTTGAGCAGAATGGGGAGGGAGACAGGCCTTTCTGATCCCTGCTCCTGTGCAGTCACTAAGCCTCCAGGCCTTTGGGAGCTGGGGAGGATAATTAGATAGCACTCCTATTAGAGTTGTTCAGATAGGGAAACTGAGGTACCTCAACCGTTTGCCCTCAGTGCCACCCCATTTCCTGCTACTTCGGTGCTAAAGTTATAGACAAGGCCATCTGGAGAGAGCCAGCAGGGCTCAGCAGACCGGAGGAGGTCCCAAGGGGACGTTTAGCACTTCATTAACCTGTCAATGCCTAAAAGGTCCCAAGTGGCCTGGGGTGAGGGCCTACAGGTTGACCTGGTGGGTGGGGCTTGAACTGCCATCAGCTCTTCAGTGCCTGTCTCCCTAAAAGAAAATTCAAATTCATCTCTTCCACCTCAGTGCTCAGCCCCTTGCACAGCACCATCCCTCGGCCTCTGCCATGCCTAGTAGATCCCTGGAGTGTGCACACCCTCTTGTCTCCCTCCTAGTACAACTACATGTCCTTAAAACCCCTTCAAGTTAGTCAGTGGTGGTGCACACCTTTAATCCCAGCACTCTGTGAGTTTGAGACCAGCCTGGTCTACAGAGTGAGTTCCAGGACAGCCAGGGCTCCACAGAGAAACCCTGCTTGGCGGCAGGGGATGAGGCAGGGCTCTTTCTCACCTGTCTCTGTGGCATGGTGACTCATATTCTCCCAAGTCCCAGGCAGTTCAGGATAGAGCTATAGGTCTGGGAGTGGAGCTGGGCAGGACTCCTTTACTACAGCAGGTGACCCACTGAGATAAACCCTCCCTACTCTGGACCTCAGTCTCTTGGTGGGCAACAGCCGGTGGATCAGTGTGCAAAGGGTCTGGAGACAGGTTTGTGAAGAGTTCAGGAACCCAGTAATGAGAGTTCCCAGGCCTGGTTCACTATACTCTGTGAATGAACTATGAATGACAGAAGGCTAGTCCTTTAAATTTCCTCTCTGCTCTTTTGGGGCCAATTCTATCAGACAGCTCTCCCTGCCTCTCTCCCCCTCCCTCCTTTCCTTAGGCCTGCTGTCTCCTTAGTGAGAAGGGTGGGTGGTGGAGATATGCACAAGGTGCCTGAAAACATCCAGTGACAACATCGGTTCATTCAGCTGATGTCCATTCAAGAGGCCAAGGTTCCATGGAGATCAGGGGTGGGAGAGCATCAGGAGTGGGAGAGCATCAGGAGTGGGAGAGCATCAGGGGTGGGAGAGCATCAGGAGTGGGAGAGCATCAGGAGTGGGAGAGCAGACCCTCAGTTTCAAGCAGCTCCTCTTGGCCACACCAACAGTTTTCTGTCCTAGTTAAAGCTACTTGCTCGTCCCTCATACTAGTAATCAATCTATCCTCCCCCCTCCTCCCCTCACCCTCTCCTCCTCTCCCCTCACCCTCTCCTCCTCCTCCTTCTCCTCCTCCTCCTCCAGTACCCTGTCCAGACTCCCATTCTAAAACCCTCAGGCAAGGTCAGCCCTGCAGCCCTGCAGAGAAGGTTGAGTGTGTTCCCACCATGTTGCTTCCCCTGGTCTCTACTGTACACAGCCTGACAGGCTGGTGGCCCTGCCTTGACCTTTAGATATCTCTTTCAAGGGCTCTGTCATTTCCGTTTAGGGTTCACAGAAGTCAAGATACTGGCTGTAGGTTACACAGCAAGTTAGCAGGGCAGTTAAGACTAGCTGGAATCCAAACTATAGAAAGCTTGAGTCATTCTGGAGCCTTCTCATGGCACTCCCTGCTATGTTTGGACACCTTGGACATCCCAGACCTCAGCCTAGGAGAGATGGTAGAGACCGTAGTCCCCACTCCCCCTGTGAATGGACAGTCAACCCCACGCCTGTTTCCAGGGCTCAGTGGTTTGGAGAAAAAAAAAAACCACAAAAAAACAAAGAGAACAAATGCCAAATTGATACCAGGGGCCTGTTTTAGCCACTCCAGCACCACTACAATTTGAGAGGATACTCCCTACCCCAGCAACAATCTCAGCTGTACCTTCCAGGCTCACTAAAAACACAGACCTACTAGCACTGAAACTGACAAATTTATTGAAGTCTTGGAAAGAGTGGATTACCAGGGAATAAATAAAAGTCACAGGATGTTTACAGAACCAACAGGTAGCCAAGATCCTGGTTTACAGGAATGATTTTAGCCTACACAAGGCCAAGCTTTGTGTCTGAGACAAATTGGATTGGGAGGACCCCCAGCCCAACCTCCTCTTGTAGGGGAGACCTCCTGGTCTGGGCTGGCAGGACCACCTCACCCCCTGCACAGGACCACAGTCTGTTTGGCAATGGTGTCTGTCCATGGTGCACAATTTTGCTCTGCACCTGAGGAAGGCTATGCCTCAGAAGAGGAATTGTTCTCACCGTTACAGGGTCAGAGACTGCACCTTGGAGACGGAGCTCTAGAAAGCTTCACTCCTCCAACACATTGCATTCCAGAGCAGAAATATCTGGAGACTCCAGGGAGGGAGAGCTGGCAACAGTGGGGAGGAGAGGTCTGCTCCCAGGTTTTGTCAGTGGCCAGGGAGGGCACAAGCACAGTCTCCTACCAAGCCTCATCAGTGATGAAGCAAGTTTTACTATTGTTTTATGCCAGGACTTTAGGTAGGGCCTGGTCTCCTGCCTTGTTGGAAATAGCAGCAAGGGTTAACTGGCCAATAAAGGAAGAGAAATGCTTACAAGAAATAGTCAAGAATCACTGGCTTGTGGACAGCCACCAGGCAGGCCACCCTTGTGTCCAAGGAAGGCCCATGGAGCCCCTCAGCTCCAGAGAACCTAGAAGTGGAACCGTCCCTATTCTCCCACTTGGGAACCCTGTCCTTTCCTCAGAGGTCCTTGGAATGGACAGCATGGAGTGGGGCCAGCTGCCCACTCAGAGGCAGCACCAAGACCTCTGAGTTAGAGCCAGGGAAACGGGGGGGGGGTGGGGTGGGGGGGGGGTCGGTCAGAACTGAGCATGGTCTACTTCATCCAGCCAGGAGGCAGGGCTAGCAGGAAAGTCTGGGTAGCCACCACTGCTCTCTGTGGACAGGTCAGAGCTGGGTCCATTTCCAGCCAGCACCCTCATGGTTGGGGGCCCACCTGGGGGCCCTGAAGGGACAAGGCCCAAGTTGGTGTCTGGGTATACCAGGCTGGAGAGGAGAGGCTGAGGGCCAGGAAGGCTCTGAGGGGCTGCAGGAGATGGGGGGATGCCATAGGGACTGCCTGGGCGAAGCTCTCGGTACTGCTCTGGACCTGCCAAGCCTCCGTGCTCCAGTGGAAAGCTGCCCAGGCCTCCTACAGACCGGCCCAGAGCAGGGGCAGGGTCTCCCAGGCTGCTGTACAGGCCACTAGCAGGCCCCATGTCAGCCATGGACGGCTCATCTGCAATAGAAAAGAGAGCTCGTCTGAGAAGCTCGCGCCTCTATCAGTACACTACAGGTCCTAACGAAACAGAGGAGACTGTCTTATACAAGAAGGAACGGGTTAGCACAGTCTCTTCAGCACTCTCAGGACTTAGGCCAGCTTTCTGCCCCCACCCCCTTCACTCCGCTACCCAGGGCCCCTTCAGCTGCACCCTCCAAGGAAGGCTTTGATCTCTGCTCAGAGAGACTTGCAACCCTGGGAGGGACTCATTTTATAGATGAGAAACTGTAAGGGCCCAGAGGCTGTGCTAGTAACTCAGGTCACAACACACCCCAAACAGAAGTGGGTATTAAGGGATGTGAGCAGCGTTCCTGGTGTAGAAAATAAGAGTTGGGTCCCTCAGAGTAGGAGGAAAGTGTCTTCTCTGCCTTCAGGAAGTTTTGTATTGTATAATTCCAGAGTTGCAGCCGGCAGCCTCAGGAACAGGGACCTCAGGGCCAACGTGAATCAACGTGAACAGAGAGGCAGCCAGAGGACTCAGCCCGGAGGCCAGCCCGAGTTAATGAGGCCAACTTACCGGTGAAGGAGACTTCGGCGTCGCTGTCCTGGCCCTCCTGGATGCTGTCCTTGTCGGACTTGGAACTGCCGCGGGAGCGCTTCATGTTTCGGAAATACTGTCCCCAGCGCTGCCGGCCTGCGTCTTTCTTCAGTCTCTTTTCCTTGGCCCGGCGGTTCTGGAACCACACCTGGGGGGTTAGGGATGGTGAGTGGCCGCCCGGCTTCCCGCGAAGCGCGTGGCCCTTCTGGGGCCGGGGGTGGGGGGACGCGGCCGAGCGCTGACCTGCACCACGCGCATGTCCAGACCGGTCTCGGAGGAGAGCTGCTCGCGCACGTGGCGCGCCGGCTTGGGCGAAGTGTTGTAGGCGCTCTTCAGCGTCTCCAGCTGCTTGGCGGTGATGGTGGTGCGCGGCCGCTTGGCTGTGGCCTCGGCTTCTGCGCGGGACAAACGGTGAGGCCGGCTAGCCCGCTCCGGCTGCGCCAGCCTGCGCCCCGCGCTTCACCCCAAGAGCCCCGCGTCGATCTCTGGATGCCCATGGGGCCCTGGCTCCCAAGCAAAGGCCGCCCATGGCCCGGCTGGCTTCCCGGAACGCAGAGCGCCGGCAGACGGGCTCTGTATTAGGAACCCGCAGCGGTGCGCATCGCTGCCAGACATGGTCCTCGACCCCCATATTCTAAGAGTTTGCGTGAATCAGGTCTTCATGGTCAAGGATGCTGGGCTGCTAATTCTCTCAAAGCGGGCAACCTCCTGTTTCCGCCGATGTGACTGCTACTGCAGGCTCCCGGAGCAGTCTGCTCAGTGCCTGGGGCTTCAGGTCGCCCCACCTCCCAGCACCAAACCAATTCCCGTCCCCAGCCTCCAGGACTGAGCGTTTCCCTCATCACCCGTGAGGGCCATCTCCGCCCACTGACCTCGCTGCTTGGCTGTTTCGTAGTCCGCCTTGCACACCAGCCGGCTGTCTTCCATGAGGTAGAATTCGTCCCCCGTGGCCAGCTGCCGCTTGCAAACCACGCAGGCGAAGCAATGCAGGTGGTACACGAAGTCCTGGGCGCGGCGCACCACCTGCGTGGGCGGGATGCCCAGCTGGCATGCGGCGCACTTGGTCCCGAAGCGCCTGCAGGATGCACAGGGTGCGGCTCAGCCGAGGGGCTCCTTCGCCTGGAGCGGGTCTCAACGCAGACAGCTCCCAGAGCCTTAGGTGTGGTCAGGAAGACTCCGTCAGCCCTGCCCTGCCTCCTGGGGCAGAGCCATAGTACCATGGGTAGCAGAACCTGCTTCTTGCTGTTGGGAAAGATGGGTCTAGAGGGCCGCGACCTTACCTGGCTCAGTTCTCTCAGCTCCGGGAAGCCTGAGCTTCCCACTTCCCAGATATTTAAGGAACAAAAACATATTTTAAGAGGGAGAGTAATTCTCATACAATTCTACAAATTTGGGTTAATTTTGTTTTAATCTAACGACTGCTTTTATGGTTTATAAAATAAACTAAACAGTAATGCTTGGGCTGAAGATTCGGCTAGGCTGGGTGGTTAAGAACACTAATTGCTCTCCCAGAGGGTCTGAGCTCCGTTCCTAGCACCCAGAAGGCAGCTCACAATCGTCTGTAATTCCAGTTGCAGGGGATCCGATGCCCCTTCAATCTTGTGAGGGCACCGGGCATGCATGTAGTGCATAGTATGAATATGTATCCACTCACATATATACATAAAATAAAATTTTATTTTAAACAAGGTCACGGGAAACCCCATCCTGAGCTTGGCCAGACTCCAGGGTGCCCTATGTGGGTAGGGACCTAGGTATGGCACTCACTGCCAGCCTGTTTTCTGCCAGCTCTGCCCCCTTCTACTCTTCCCTGCTCTGTGAAAGCAGTTCGGCAGCCAGCTTACTTAAAGAAGTCGTCTTTGCAGTACACGCTCTCCCCGCGGCTGAAGCAGCGCTCAGCCAGAGGTACGTGGCAGTCACTGCACTTGAGACACTTGCTGTGCCAGTGTCGGTCCAGAGCCTTAAGGATGAAACGGTCCAAGATGTGCTGGTCACAGCCCGCGCACATCGGGATCTCTGTGGATACAAGAATAAGCTAGGTCATGGGACCACAAACGATGCACAATGGCCCCTTCGTCAGATGGAGTCAGCTTGCAGGCCTTAGGGCTGTGCAAGGATCTGTTTTTCTGACACCATCTTCTGTCAGCTTTTGGGGCCACCAGGCTCCCCGGAGAGAGTAGTGCTCAGATATCGTATCCTGCAGTATCCCTCAGTCTCACTGCAGCTAAGGGAAAGTGAACTAGGTCTAGAAATGTGTCCGCAGCAGAAAAGTGACCAGGCTGTCCTGTAAGCTGAATAACTGTTCTACAAAGTGTTTCCAGTGCCAGACAGATCATGTCCATCTCAAACGAAAACCTCACCCTTGGAGTGATCTGGAAAGCCAGGAAAGAAAGAGAGAAAGAAAAAAAGAAAGAGAGAGAGAAAGAGAAGAGAAAAAGAAAGAGAAAGAAAGCAAGAAAGAGAACGAAAAGAAAACATGTCCTTACTAGCAAGGGCAAGAGATCGCACATGGAACTTCATCGCCTTTGGGATGAACAAAGCATCTTAGCTTCACTCTGCAGAGTTCTAGCAAAGTGAGATGTCCAGCGCTGGCCCTTGCCTGCGGCATCTCCGTGTGGATAAATAGGTGCTGGCCTTGCTTGAATGGCAGCAGGTACCTGTGAGTGCACTGGCTATGACTTTCTTAACACACACATATGCTTTCAGATGGATATGATAGATACGGAAGCTCTGCTGTTCAGGTGTGAGCTGCAGTGCACAGTGGGTGACTTCAACTCTCTACACCACCAATTCTTCTAAGTTCTCATCCCCCAGAGATGGCAGGTCTCAGGGAAACTGGGTGGGAAAAATCTAAAGGTGCCTTTCAAGAGCCAGGTAAGCATTTAGGGGATCTTCTTTATGTTCACAGGATAACGACTCCCTGATAATTTAGGAGAGGTTTCTAGAATAAAGGAGAACCATGTTCAGGACCCACACCCACATCAGTGTCTTTACATCTCTAGCTACAGATGGTTAGCTCCAGGCTAGCCTCCACTGGTGGGAGGACATGGAAAAGGACTTCCCCACCTCCCTCCAGCACTGGCCACAAGCCTGCGATGGATGCTGTCCCGCACGGAGCAAAACCACATCTCGAAGTGTGGACGTGGAGATCGACTGTAGCTGTACCAGAGCACCACCAGAGCCGTCGTAAGACCGCAAAGATACCCAGAAGAGAGTGGGGTGTCTGGACCGGCTATACATTGCAGATTCAGCACCCAGATACGGACAGCGCCTCGACCAAAGAGCCAACAGCGGGGGACCCGCTTCCTACAAAAGCCGCAGGCACCGACAAGCCTCCCAGCCTCCAAGCGACTTCCTCTTGCTTATGTTGCACGATGAACTCCAGTCTCAGTAGTTTCCTACACGGGGTTGGAGGGCCCAGTGGAGCCTATGGGAACCACCAGCGCCTTAGAAAGCCTCACGGAGCTCTGGAGCCTAGCTTAACAAGCCTTCCTCCCTCCATTTCTCATCCTCCCCTCCACCTCTTCCTCCTAGCCCCTGTGGATAACCCATCCCCATAAACCATCGGAAAATAGATAAATAAGCCAATAGGTCATATCCGACCCTCCAGTCTGCAAAGAATCCTTTTCCCACTTGCTTCGACCGACCTTCTGTCAGCCTAACTGCCTCTTTCCCCATCGAGTTATACTCTCAGCCTGAAAACGCGGAAAGCGCTCTTATTCCCCAGAACCAAAGCCTGCAAAAAGACTGGTACCACCAAGAAACTGGAGGCCTGGACCAGTCCCACTTTTCCCTGTCATCGATTCTTGACCACCAGCCTAGCGAGAAACTGCTGGTGTAGCCACTAAGATACAACTGAGGGGAGATGTGTGATTCAGCATGACCGGGCCCTAATCCCTCTGAAAACGGGGAAGGGACTGAGTGTAGGCAGTTCCTAAGGAGACATTCCTCCTCCCTGATTCCTGGGTCTTGAAACATCTTCATATTCTCCATCCAGCTCAAGGGCCTTAGCCAGCTCAGAGCTGCAAAGGGTCCCCTAATCTGTTTCTGAATCACCAAGGGCTCCCAATGCCAGGACAACACAGCACCAGGGGGCTACATACTTTGAAGCTTGAGGCGCCTTTGCTTAGCCATGCTAGAACCCCTCAGACACACCCTTGTCCAGATACCCTGGCTTCTGCTGGCCTCCGCGCAAGGGCCAGAAAAAACCGAGGATATTAGGGCCTGTTCAGTGCAGCCTCCCCGTCGGGCACCCACCTCGGCGCAGGTCAGCCCTTCGCGCCAACAACGCCAGCAGTAGGTCTCCGCCCGGGGATTCCCGGGACGGGTCCAGCTCCCCGCGAGCTTCCATGGGGCCGGGTGCCTGGTGCTGCCGCCCTCCGACCCTGAACTTCCCCTGGGTCCGGCGAGGTCACCGCTGCAGAGACTCCGAGCTGGCGTCGGAGCGACTCGTGTCGCTGCTGGGCGCTGTGCCCACGGGAGGACTCTGGGCGCCAAGCCTCCGGCCCGCGGAGGGCGGAGCGGCGGAGGGCGGGGCCGCGGGGCGGGGCTCGGCCGGGGGTCGCAGAGTCGCTCCCCAGGCCACCTGAGGCCACTGGAGGCTCTGTGCGCTTTTCAGCCGGAACCGAGGTGCCTAGAAGCCGTCCGGCTTGCACTTCCCGAAGACGGAGACAGCACGGTAACCACTCAAGACTTCCCACAGATGCTCACCCCTGCCCCAAGCAAGTTCGCTAAGGCCCCCGGAAGGCTGAAGTCTGAGGGAAGTGGCAGGGAGGGGACTGCATTCTCTTTGCTCACGTTTAGCCTCTGAACCGGAGCTGGAAAGCATTGGGACCACACCTGGTCAGCAGAAGGGCAACATGATAGCCACCGAGGGAACGTGGAGGCAAAGAAGCCACGGTAGAGCTGCAAGGAGTTCGATTTGAAGCCCCCCCCCCCCCAACTCTGACACTTCGGGATCCCACCACTGGAACTGCCTCCTGGAGCCAGTGCAGGGAGAAGGAACAATTCTTAGGAGCTTAGGTCTGGTGTCTGCAGGAACACACCAAGACTCTAGGTCAGAAAAGGGTTGAGCTGCGGAAGCCCTGAGATCTATCCTCACTTCCACACCCCAACTCCTTAGAACAATCCCTGCACCTGGATTTCCACATCTAATCCCCATCCGAACAGGTGAGCCCACCAGAACCTATTCTATCCTTGCATGTGCCCTCGCTGAGGGCTCCTAGTACCCAGCCAGGAGACAGAGCCAGACCTGTGCAGTCACTGGTAGGAACCAGAATCCAGCAGGGTGTAGCGCTCTGGCAACTATCAGGGACACCCTAGAAGTGTTTGCAGAATCAGCAAGTTGCTGCCACCCTCCTGGTTCCTCTACTTGCCCTGCTCTGCCTCTGTCCCTAGGACTGTGACTGATCAGAGCACAGAATGGGAAGGATGAATGAAAGAACGCAGGATTCCCACGTGGTCCCAGCACACCTGCTGCCTCAGGAAGAGCCCTGTGCTTGCAGCCATCCCTTCATGTTGCTCTGTACTTGTTATTCCGAGAAGGTCAGAAACACCAGCTTGGAGTGAAATGGGTGCTGGGTGAGCTGGGATGTGAGCCATTGAATGTCAGCCGTTGCAGAGGCAATGGGGTCGGGGCCATGTGTGGCTAGACTAGGGAAGAGGCGGCTCCACACTGCTGGGCATCTGGCTTGCCGCCAACAATGCCTCCATTATTTTCCATCATCCATGGCAATGAAATGGCCCTTGGGGATCAGAGTTCAAGCGGGAGAGTTGGCCTGGGGATCCTTGCTGCAAGTCAAAGCAGTTCTGGAAGGTGTAGGGCATTCAATCTCTAGGGTCCTTTATGTTCCTCAACATCATCTCAGGCCAGCCCCAGGCCTTTCTGGTCACTGTTGACCCTGTAGCCTTCCTGTCCTCCCTGCCTGCTATCACCTGGTATTTTTTTCTCCGAAGCCACTCCTATGCTACTCCCTCCTGGTCACCCCTCTGAATTCTGTCTCTCTCCCTGCCTGGCATGGAGGCCTCTGGGTTGCAATTGCTCTTACCTGGAGTCCTGCCGAAGGTACAGAGGGCAGCAGCTCCAGGGGCACCAGGCCGCTCTCGGTGGCAATCGAGTTCCGCTTTCAGCAGCATGGCAGTCACTAATCCAGTGGTTCGTGCAAGGTGTTCCCTGGAGTGCCGGATCTCCTTCAGACCGTGGCCCACTCATTGGCCTGGCGCTGTCCGTGGTGCTGAAGAAGGCACTATCGTGCTGGGGGACCTTCACCAGCCTGCCCCGCCCCTCCTCTGTCCCCGCCCTTCACCTCTTCCAGGCCTGGGCAGGCGGAGTCAGGCTGGCGTCACTCCAGGACTGAGTCTGACTAGTCTATGATGTATAGTAGCCCTTTCTCAGGACCTTCCTTTACCTATCACAGAATAGCATAGTGGCTCCTGACTTGTTCTGTCCTGGGCTCTGGGCCTTCGTAGTACACGGGTTTGAGAGCCTCTGGGCTGTTATGGACTGCCCTCTCCTGGTAGAATAGATTCTCAGTCCAAAGGCCTGCTTGCAGGCACAGGTCAAAAGCCTCCAACTGCTGCTGGTGGCCTCTAAGAACTCAACCACCTGCAGTCAGTACTCTGCGGGCAGATTTTAGACCCTCCTCTCCAAGCCCCACTTCTGGAAAAGGGTCATGTGTGCAAACCCACCAGCTACTGTAGAGCTGAGGGGTCCTGAGCAGTTCTCTGGTGCCTGCAGGGCAATCTGCCCCAGGCTAGGAACAGATGGGAGGGCCATTTGGTGAGGCTCAGCAGCTTCTAGGTTGACTGGCTGGTCCTCCCAGGCTCTGTGGTTCAGAGACTGTGTGAGGAAGCACCGACACTCCCTGTGCTCTGTTTGTTTGTTTGGTTGTTGGTTAGTTTTTCCAGACAGGGTTTCTCTGTGTAGCCCTGGCTGTCCTGGAACTCACTCTGTAGACCAGGCTGGCCTCAAACTCAGAAATCCACCTGCCTCTGCCTCCCAAGTGCTGGGATTAAAGGTGTGTGCCACCACTGCCTGGCTCCCTGTGCTCTGTTAACAAAGGCACGGAGTGCTGCAGCTCTTAGCTTAGTTAGTTCTCACTCTTCACTGTCTGCTTGACCTCTAGGCTGTTCTCCCAAAAGCCTCTAGTTTTATACAAAAACCCTAGAACTTCAGAGTTGGGTCTGCAAACTAGAAGGGAGGGGGTTTAGAGAATTTCCTGAATCTAGCTTTATATAAAGCTGCTCACACCTCAAAAAACTGTAACAACTTTATTAAATGTCAAATTTCTTTATTCTTACAATGTGCATATTAGAGTCTACTTAAATACAAAATGTACCCCTTTTTTAAGTTAAGAAATTTCATTGACATTTTCATGCCAATTGGCTTTTTACTCAAAATCTTTGCATTAAAAAATAAATAAACATTTAAATTACTGAACTAGTCTAGACATTAGTCATAATACCTCTTATAAAACTTCAGACTTTAGAACAGACTTTACACTTGGCCCAAAGGTGCGTCTGTGCACTGAACAGGGACCTGGAGGAATGCAAGCCTTTTCACTGCAGAATGAACAGTTCAAACAGGGATGTCCGTGGTGTGCTTGTCCCCTAAGGGATTACCTGGGACTGTACAAGGGCAGCTGAAAGTAGGATCTGCCCAGAGTGGGCTTCTGCAAACACCAGCCACGCCAGGGCCACAGTTGGGGAAGCCCCCTTCAACAATGCCCCCCAGTGGTTCAACTGTGGGCTCAAGCATTTCACTGGGGCTGCCCTTTAATAGGCCCAGTTCTCAAACTGATAGACCAGAGGTGTTCATCCTTAGAAACACCGAAGGATGAACTAGCTTGTTTGTCTTTAAGCACAGGGCTCCAGGTTGCAAAGAAGCAACTTCCTGCCACTAGGACGTGAAGTAGGAGGTTCAGGTGGCTGAGTCCAGCCATCGGCCCCAGCCAGGGAGGCCTGGCTCTCAACTAACTGATCCTCCTATGTGATGAAAGGAGGGTTAACAAAAGCCCAAGGAGACAGCTGTCCGTTGTCTTAAGTGGCAGCAGAGACACTGATAATACAGGGTCTTAAATGGTACCTATGTGGGCGATTGTAACTGGGAAGGATGCAAATATAAAGCACAGACTATGCAAAGTGGAATGTATATTTAACCTAGTCACATCCATGTGAGCAGACACGCACGCGCACACACACACTCACTCACTCACAGAAGACTAGCTTGCTTTATCCAAATAAAAAGAAGCTCCTGAGCTATGAGGGTCTCAGTAGGAATGTTTCCAGAAATGTAGACTTAGTCCATTTTTTAAAAAGTCTTTAGGCACAAGTTTACCAATGGGATTTTACAAAAAAATGTATTTAATTTAAATCATTGTTGTTGTTTTTAAGTTATCCTCAAGGCCAGGATGCCTAGTATGCAGGGGTAGCATCCCATGCCCCCACCAGTGTCTTCTGCAGTGTATATGAAAGACATGACAGGAGCTCTAGAGGCTTCCTGGAGACTGCACTGTCCCACAGGGACCAAGTTTGCATTACAGCTTGATCTGGTTATTTAAGACGCAGGGAAGCTACAACATAACTTAGTGGCCTCTAGGCCCTACACCCCACAAGGTGACCAGACTTCCCTGTTCAACTTTAGAGCACCCTAAACTCCCATGAAAGCACAACAGGCTATGCAGGAGCACAGCCCACAGCTGTGGCAGGCGTGTGATATCTGTAGAGGCCTCTGTGCTTTGGCTGCTCATCTCTGGATACTGCGTCAGAGAGAGGGGGTGGGGGAATGGGAGCAAACGGAGACTTGAGGCCTCATGGAAGGAGCAGCAACATGGAAGGCTGTGTGGCTGTGGGGGAACCTGCATCCTTCTACAGGGCCAAATACACACTAGTCTAACATGGAGGCTGGGAAGGTGAGGGCAAGATACCAGCAAGGCAAAAAAAAAAAGTTCCTGTATGAAAAACAAAACATGCATCTCCAGACACTATGCTGGGCACATTTGCAAAATCCCTGATCCCAACATTAAAGCTGCAGGTGTGTGGGTAGTTCAAAGGCTTCCTCTGAGTCGTCATGACTGGCCCAGGTGCTCTAAACAGTTGGGTGGTAGAGCCGAACTTTCCACCGCTTGGACCTTACTCTGAAGAAGAAGTACATGATCATCAAGAACAAGGAGGAGGCCACGTAGAGCACCACACAGAGGCTCATGTCCAGACTGGAGAAGCCAACCCCGAGGAAGGGCACGATTGCCTTGGCCTCCTTAAGTGCCTGGGGCCCCTGAGTGCTCTGGAGTCTTAGGTCCAGCCTGTGCTGCAGGCTCTTGGAAGGGTCAGTTCTGGGGCCCAGTATATGGGGTGGACGGAGACTCTCAGCATCCTGGTGTCTCCAGGACTTCCCCGAGGGGTGAAGATCTTTGCTGTCTTCTTGCTCTCTACCCTGGGCTTTCCGCTCACCAGGACTGTCCTGGTCCACAGAGTATGTGTCCACCAGGTTGTTTCTGCTGTAGTGCTGCTTCAGGAACACAAGCACCTGGCCCTCATTCCAGCTGTCTAGGCCTTTAATTTCCTCATGGCAGGCTGGGCAGAGGTCTGGAGTGGGCCATGGAACCTTTGGAAACTTGGGATCCTCACTCAAATGGCCTAGAAGGGAGGAGAAGAGAGAACCACAGAGAAACCTTTTAGCCACAGGATGCTAGTATGTCTCACCCTACCTAGCACACTAACTGTCTCAGCTTTCCTCCCTCCACCACTCCTGGGCATGCAAATGCCCTCTTCTTTCTGGCAAGCCATGCATACAAAGGAAGTACACTGCATTCCGGACTCTCCTTGCCTCTCAAGGGACTACACTCCTCTGTGACTCACCTAGACCTTCCCTCTTGCACCGGTCCATCAAGTTCTCACTTCGGTGTCCTATTTTGTTTGAGACAGGGTTTCTCTGTGTAGCTCTATTGTCCCAGAACTTGTTCTATAGACCAGGCTGGCCTTGAAATTATAGAGACTTGCCAGTTGCTTACACCACCATGGTCAGCCTGTGTTTGCCTTAAAGTGCCCTTGAGACCTACCCCCTCACTCTCCAGCACTCTGGCTGCTGGAAGCACCCCCCTCCCCAGATACTATCTACTCTAACATCTCTCCACACTCTAGATCCTTCCCCTGACCCCCCAGGCCCTGAAGATTCCTAAAGACCTTAGACTTGACTCCAGTAGGGGAAGTCATGTTTAGACAAAACAGGACATCCTGCAGCACATATGAACCTGGCTCCTAAGTGGAACCTGGTTCCTTGATCTTGCCACCTCCCAGATCATCCCCACATGTGTATAGGCAAGCACACATAAGAGGTCACCCAGCATTGCTCTCCCATGGTTCCTAGCTGTGGTTCACCTTCCCATTCAGCAACATGACTCTCCCAGGGTGTTTGGCCTGGGGCTTCCCACATGCCTACTGTTCCCCTGATCCCTCCCCCGAGATGGAAGTGCACACTGCTCTGCTGTGATTAGCTGTGTTCTTCTGCTCCAGAGTGTGTACAGAGTTACATAAAGGCAGGATCATTTTTGTGTGTGTTATAGGTGCTACACACAGGCTGAGGAGACAAGGCCAAGGCCAGCCAGCACTCCCTGAAAGGAGTCAGCTAGTAGGAGGTGAGGAGGAACTCTCTGAGACACATATCAGGAGTCTTCTAAAAAAAGACACATATCAGGAGTCTCTCTAAAACAAAGCACAGGTCTGACAAGAAGATGGAGACCCAATCTCTATGCTGGTAGTGGGACTAGTGAGCAGGTGAGGAATCTTAGGAACAACATTATACCAGGCTATACAGCCCCTTCCTGCTGTAGCCTAATGATGTGGGTACTTGTGGTGGGGGACAAATGACAACAGGGCCCCTGGATTGGGCAAGGCCCAGCTGGTGTCTTGTTCTGGCTGCCTCAGAGCCAGGCGCCTGGTGGGAGGGAGACAGGGAAGGCATTAGAGAGAAATCCCTGTATAAGGGCCACTAAGGCAGCGCCTTGAGACAAAGCAAATCCTCCACACGAAAGGCACCGTCTGCTCTTGGTGCCAAGAAAAACCAATTTTCTTTAGTGCTTCAGTTGTAATATGCTTTATAATACAGCGGATTAAACAAAAACCAGGAGTTTAGTGACATTTTCCGTTCATCTCTATTAAATTCATTTCTCAGTAGAATTACTCTTAAGCCTAATTTTAATCTGCCGTTGATTTCAGAATAGTAGGAATTACTTAACCCTGACAGATTACATGGGCCCTCTCACGTGTGAGGTTTTCTCAGCAGTCTGAGATGTGTGTGCATGTCTGTGTGCATGTGCTATGTGTGCACACTATGGAAGGGGCCAGGGCACTGAGCATCTTCCTCAGTTACTCTGACGCTCTTAGGTTCTGAAGCAGGGTCTTTCATTGAACCTGGAGTTTGCAGACTGGATTGGGCTAGACTGGCCAGCAAGATCCAGGGATCCTTTCTACCTTCTCAGCACCAGAATTATAGGCATGTGTTGCTGTACCCAGATTATTTTTTTAATAGATCAATTCAGATCCTCATGCTTGCAGGGTAAGAATTTTAAAAATTGAACTAAATCTCTAGTCCCTGAGAACAGATTTTAAAGATAATAATTACTATAGGTTTTTGTTTTGTTTTGTTTTGTTTCTGAGTTCACAATTACTTGTGGTAAAGTTGTAGAGAGTGGTACTGGAGGGAAACATGGGCAAAGAATGAGCCCCATCAGTGTCCACATGGGCCAGGAGCTCCAAAGCCAATGGGACACAATCTGACACAGACACACCCTGAGTAAGCAGTAGCAAGAGGGAACTCACTGTCCTCAAGCACAATGTCCAGGGCACCCTTGGGGGGCTTTAAGTGTGTTGGACCCTCCAGATCCAGGCTCAAGGTTATGTGCCCAAGTGTTGGAATAGCAAGGCCTCTCACCTGCCAGGCGGCTGTTTACCATGTTGTGCTTCCTCCAAAGCCAGAGAACAGCTTGGTCTGGAGTTTTCACAGAATCCATGGACTCCTTAGCCATTTCCTCAAAATGTTCACCACATTCTTTGCACCCAAAGAATGTGCGAATGTATCTCCTCATGGTCTGCAGCACAGCCTGGGGGTCACCTTCAAAGGCTGCAGAAGGAAATAGCATCAGTGCTGCCAGCCTGAGGATCATCAAACCCTGGACCTGCCAAACGGCTCAAACAGGGAAAGATACTAAGAGCGTGGAGTGGCCCCAAATACTCCAAGAGAAGCCATGGGATAAGTTCCCCAGATACCACAGTACAGCTGGGGTGGTAAAGGCTTCTCCCAGTGCACAGGGACAGTAGCAGTCACACTGGGAACATGTCAATAGCATGGGCACTCTGAAGGTTGAGTGCTAGTTCCAAGAGGAACAAGCCCAATAACCCAGATGCCTCGATCCCCATAAGCTTTAAAAGGAATGTGTTAGCATTCCTCAACCATGGCCCTGATTGTCTCTGGTCTTGACCTCAGGACCCACAAAACAACCTAGCTAGCCCCAGAGAGTGTTTTCCCTTGGATCTGCCAGTCTGCCAGCTGTGTGCACTGCCTCCTTTGTCACCTAAAGGTGACACTTGTAGAGGTGAGGCTCTCACTCTGAGCCAGGGGCCATCCTGTTTCAGAATCCACTAGGTCCAAGAGCAAATATGGCTGTGTACAATCTTCCCTGAGCAGATGGGCAGTAACAGTTACCAACTGGCCAGCTGCCAGGGCTCTCTCTTGGAGGTTGACAGGGATGCAGGCTGGCAAGGGCTGCACTCTTTCAAGAGGACTGAGCATCTCCAAATGGTGAGTTTTATTCTTTTGTTTAGATTTTTGGAAGTAGGCTTGTACTATGTCATCCTGGCTGGCCTAGAACTTGCAATAGAGCTCAGGCTGGCCTTGAACTCAAGGCTGTCCTTTTGCTTCAGCCTCCTGAGTATTGGAATTACAGAATTATAAAACTACTGGTGAGTCTTTTCGTTTGTTTTGTTTTTCAAGACAGAGATTCCCTGTGTAGCCCAGGCTGTCTTGGAACTCACTGGGTAGATGAGGCTGTCCTGGAACTCAAGAGATTTGTCTGCCTCTATCTCTTCAGTGCTCAGATTAAAGGCATGCACCACCACCTGGCTGATTTTAAAATTCAAAAGTCCAGCATCTAGGGCCATGATTCTTAGCACAACAGAGGTTTACAGGATAGAAGCGGCAGCTCTGACAGGTACACAGCATTTTCAGAAAGCAATATATCCCATAAGCAGAAGCAAGCAGCCAGAGGTAAGCATGCAAGAAAGAGACTAGCCCCACAAAGTGACTAAGCAGAAAGTGCATTTCCCACTAGGGAAGGAATCTTTCATTCCACAGCAACTTTCATGGGTCTAACTTCTCAATCTACCCTGACCCAGGGGTGTGTCCACAAGAAGCTCTGGGACATGAGGAGTTACACTAGTGCCTTTGCATCCAGGAATGAAAACCAGCATACCATTGTTCCTGCTGACTTTGATTATACCCACTGGTAGCTGGCCAATGCCTGGTGTGAGATACCATTGCTAGACTTGTGACCAGCTTGCCCTCCTCTCCCTACTAGATCTTCAAACATCTGCCTCACATCACAGTAATCCCTCCTCATACCCACCAAACCACTGCTCACTCCAGCTCTAATCTTTAAAGTGGACAAGAACCATAAACCACTACCTGGGGGAGGGTTAGAGCATGCAGGCAGCACTTTAGTAGACGGGTTTAAACCAGCTGTGAGAAAAGAAAACCTCAAAGATTTAATCCTGGTCCCCACATGACCCAATTCCATTGGCAGGGGACTACTTTCCTCATGAGGACAGACTGCTGCAGCTGCCTGCCTGATGTGTGTCATGCAGACATCAAGTGTGTTCTAGGACCTGTCTCTGGCTGCTCCAAACTTTCTTCAAGCACTCTTCGTTGAGCACACATCAGCAGTATTTTGAGGAGCTAGCATGGCAGGAGCATGGAGCACTCATTTCCTTTCGGCAGGCACATAAACAAGAGACTCCTGGAGTTGGCCTGTTTTAGGAGTAGTCCTGATACATTAAGTCACATAGCACTATGGGTCTGATCCCAGTGTCTGGACTGTTTCTGGGGTTTCTCCCTGCTGTGTGCTCCTCTTCCTTCTGATTCCAATGGGAATGTGAGATTAAGACTGACCAACCTCCCAGTATCCTGAACACACCCTTTTGCAAAGTGATTTGGGTGCTTCTGTAATGAAGTGGGTCTATTTTCCTAGCTTTGAGTCTAGACAAACAGAATATAGCTGAACGACAGCCTGCCAAAGCCCTCAAGGTTCTTCCTGATCTTGGTGCCACCAAGTAGGAAGCTGAGTCTAGTCTGCAGGATTGAGTGAATCCAAGCCTTCCTGTGGATGGCCAGCTACCACCACACACCCACACAAGCAATAGGAGGAAATGAAGAATCACGCAGCCCAGCCAGACCCAGCTGCGGACCCATCTAACATGAGCAAGCAAAGTGGTAGGGGTTTGACACCACCACAGGATTATAGGAATTTTATGATGTTATTAGAAGGTACTCTGGATCTCATGGATTCCACTACCGCTTGGTATCAACGTGACTGGACATATGTGGGTCAGACAGACTGAGGCACAAGAGCTAAAGGACAGGCACTTGCTCTACAGCTCCAGGGGCTAGATGGACTGGAAAGTATCCACCTGGCCATATCTAATGTGCTATTGTGGAAGTACTAACAGCTGTCAGGCCCTGTCCTCAGGCCGTGTAGTTTCACTCCTTGTGACAGGCAGTGCCCAGTCTCTGCCTCTGAAACTCAGAATGCACAGGCTTTGTTCCCACAGTAGCAGAGTGGGCCCAGTGAGACCAAGATGACTGAAGTGACGAGCACGACTCTTCTGCTGGCTCCCTCCTACTAAGCCAGCTTCCAAGATGTGAGCGGGCCTTAGAGAAATGGATGGGAGCCTCTAGTGGGACACAGAAGGGACCTGAGGGCCTTGGGGGGAGCAGCCAGTGGGTACTGAGAAAGCCTGGAAGTGGGTCTATCCCAAGTTGAATTGGGTCTCATCATACTGAAGCCGAGAACCCAGGTTAAACCACACTCAAGATTCCTAACCCAAAGAAACTCTAGCTGCTCAATTTGAGGCTAAATTGTTCTAGAACAAATGATAAATGATAGGCCTCAGTAAACAGGGTTCACTTGCCTTATTTTACTGAGTAAATCAAGGTGAGTTTAAAGTGAGGCTGCGATGGCAGAGGATGCAGAGGCCGCTCTCCTGCCTGTCCTGTCTGCACTCTGAGATGCTCACCGTTACACTGACTGTGTCCTCTGCCCCGGAACAGCTATGCGACTGGCAGGCACCTCATACACATCAAGGTTTGCCTTGTGGGTGCTTATGCTGCATCTGCCATGCATTCCAACTAGACAGTGGACACAGAAGGCCACTAGTGTCAGCACGGTTAGGCAATAGTTACCTGTGCCAACCAGCGCTTCTGGATGGGTGGAGGCCTGAACCGTCAAAGTATGAAACAGTTTCCAGAGGGAGCATGGGTAGCCCCTCAACTCCAATCGGCTTCCTTGACATCCCACCCACTTTATGTGGCTGGTAAGAAAGATTCCAGAAATCTGAGGGGAAAACATCCACAAAGAATACAAGATAAATGTTAAAATTAACATTAGCTGCAGGATGCCTCTGGCCTTGAATGGGGAGATGATCACCCAAGGGTACGTATTTATCAAAGCTTCTTCTCACTGCATGCCTATAATCTCAGCACTTGGAATTAAGGCTAGATTTAGTTGGCTAAGACTGGAGAATTGAGTTTGGGGCTAGCCTGGATTACATGAGAAACATCTCAAGAAAGAAAGAAAGAAAAAGATAAAGAAAGAGAAAGAAAGAAAGAAAGAAAGAAAGAAAGAAAGAAAGAAAGAAAGAAAGAAAGGAAGGAAGGAAGGAAGGAAGGAAGGGAAGGAAGGAAGGAAGGAAGGAAGGAAGGGAAGGAAGGAAGGGAGAAAGAAAGAAAGAAAGAAAGAAAGAAAGAAAGAAAGAAAGGAAGGAAGGAAGGAAGGAAGGGAAGGAAGGAAGAAAGAGAGAGAGAGAGAAAGAAAGAGAGAGAAAAAGTCAGTCAGACAGACAGACAGGGAAGGAAGGAAGAAGGAAGGAAGGAAAGAAAAAAGGAAAGGAAGGAAGAAAGGAAGAAATCAAACAATGTAAAACCCAAAAGCCTTGGGTGCTGTGCTGTTTGAAGGCAGCTCTCTGTGTTCTTGCTGAGCTGTCCTTAAACTGAAGCTTCAGTGTAGCCTGCCAGCATCACTGAGGTAAGGATGTGCGCATGAAGTCACCACAGAAATAGGAACACTAAAAATCATGAGGCTTCTCTACTTGGAGACATGGGGCTTTTCCACATGAGGACATAGGGATTTTCTACATGGGGAGACAGTTTTATCCAAGCAGGGAGATGGGGCTTGCACTGTGGTAACAAGTACTAGCAGCAAAGCCAGGAAGGCACCATGGGTGGATAGATTTATTTTTCCTTTCTCCCAACTCTGGGTCCCGGTCAGGCCTGAGCAGCAGAAAAAAATACGTGAAATGCAGGAAATGGGAGTATGTACACTAGACATGGCCAGTGCTGGGACTCACCTGCATTTTGTTGTTGACTAGGTCTAGGATGGCATTGTATGGAATCTTGTCCAGGGGGAGGTTGGCCAGCCACTCCTGCAGTGTCTCCAAGAGCTTCTTGACTGGTGGCCGGCCAGGGAACAGCTAGGAAAGAAGACCCCTTCCTCTGAGATGTTGAGAAAAACTGCCACTACCTACCAAGGTCTGAAAGCAGCACAGAGAGCTATGACCTTGTGACAAAGTCCACAAAGCATGGTCAAAGCCCCACACCAACACACGCCCTGCCTCAGGCAGTCCTTTAAGAAAATGGATTCAACCTTAAGACCAACCTAGAACTGGGGCCTCTTCAAGAACTAGAGGGATACCAGATGGCTATTTCATGACATTAGACAGGGAGACTGCTGGGTATGGTATATTACCAAGTTATCCAGAGCACAGTAGCCCTCAGAAGACACTCCCACATACTTATCCTCTCTTTCTGCAATTCTTCAGTTCTAATAGCCTCTTTTACTACCTCTACCCAACTGCCTTACAAGGTGTAGGAACAAGAAGCTAGCACAGGCAGTGAGGACATGCAGCCCAGTGGCTGACTAGTAACAGTGGAGAGCAAGTAGCTAAGAGAACCCTGCTGGTTCTTTCTCTCTGGATAGTCTATCGTTTGTCCTCTCTCTCTTTCTCTCTGGATAGTCTATTGTTTGTCCTC